ACACCCACAAAAAGGTGGCTGTCGACCCCCGCTTGTATTGCACAAATCAGAAACGGCTACATTAAAGGTGATAGAACAAAACATATATCACCCAAGTTTTTCTACACTCACGAGCTACAAAAGAATGGTGATATTGACGTTCATCAGATACAGTCATGCAACAACTTGGCAGATTTATTCACTAAAGCACTGCCAACTACAACATTCAAGAAGATGGTCCATAGTATTGGAATGCGTCGACTCAAAGATCTCTTGCCGACATCAGGGGGAGCGTGATCATTAACTCTCACACACTGTACTCTTTTTCCTTCGTCCAAGTTTTTATCCCACTGGGTTTTTCTTGGCAAGGTTTTAACGAGGCAGTGTCTCACGATCGCAAGCTTCACATGGATGTGCACTCTTTTTCCTTTGTCCAGATTTTTCCCATTGGGTTTTACTGGCAAAGTTTTTAACGAGGCATATTCCATTAAGATTGACATCCAAGGGGGAGTGTTATGAATGCATTCATTATACATTTAGTGTGGATGTCAAAAACGTAAGAGTTTAAGTGCCTTCATTAATACTTCATGTATTCAATATGCTACTTGAGAACTATAAATAGATGCCATTGTAATGGATCTAAAACACACTTGAATAAACAAGAAAGAATAAGAAGAAAAAGTTCTATTATCCTTACATTTGATCTCCCATATTCTTGTTTTACTTGATTTTCTTTAGTATATTTATAACATATATATTATAAATTATAACTTTTCTAACAATAAATTGAGCTTTTCTCAAAAAAAAAAAAAGAAGATCAAAAATAAAAAATAAATAGATCAAAAAATAAAATATATAATTTATTGAAACATTTAGAATTTGGAAAGAGTTTTTAAAAATAAATAGATCAAAAATCAAAATTTCCTATATAATTCAATTTTCAATTATAAAAAGAAACGTAAATTACAGTAACCACTGAAGTTAGATCAAATTACGAAAAATCCATCTTGTTTGAGTAATTACAACCATCCCTTAACTATGAATCTTTTTACACGTCCACTTTTATGATGTCAAATTCAATATAATCTTATAGATTCCGTGGAATGTTCTCTAGTTTGTATTCGTTTTGTGCAGAAATGCAATTTCTAATGTACCACAATCTAATATATATTTACAAGTCAAGGAAATATCTTGTGATCATCTTTGTTTCATAATGTGGATCTCGAATGGGGTAAAACGGGTACAAACTGGAGAATATTTCGAATAATTTAAAAATTCCATTAATTTTGACACCTCAAGGATGAACGTGTAAAAAAATTCTAGTTGATGGGCAATTGTAATAACCCAAACATGAATATTTTTTTCGTAATTAGATCTTATCTCATATGTGGGCCTAATTTACCATAAAAAGAATGGCAAAAATTGGCATGAAATAAATAATATTTCAAAATAAAAAATATTGACAAATTTTGAATTCGAAAATATTTATCTAATTTTCACTATTATTTTTAACCAATAAAGAAAAGAAAAAAAAAAGAATGGATGGAGAAAATAAAAATATAGGGTAAATTACAACCTCTCCCCTGAGGTATGGTCTAATTACGAAAAATCCCCTCATGTTTGGATAATTACAACTACCCCTAACTATGAATCTTCGTATACATCCACCCTTATGATGTCAAATTCAACATAATTTTCTAGATTACGTGGTATGTTCTCTAATTTGTACTCGTTTTGTGCAAAAATGCAGTTTTTTATGCACCACAATCTAATATATACAAGCCAAAAAACACATCTTATGATCAAGTTCCTTCAAAATGTGGAGCTCGAATGAGACAAAACGGCACAAAATTGTGAATATTCCACTAAATTTGACAGCGCGAGGGTCGACGTGTAAGAAGATTAATTGTTGGAAGGGGTGGTTATAATTACCCAAACAATGAGGTTTTTTTTCGTAATTTGACCATACCTACAGGGGTTGTAATTTACCCAAAAATATATAATTTTAGAATTAAAAACAAATAAATCGCTATATCAGTTATCAGATATTAATAGGTTGAGGAGAAACAAAGAAAAACAACATTGCTTCATGTTACACTTCACTTCATTCGACTCCATTTATATACATACACAGATGCATACATAGATACATACAATATATTCATACATATATGTATGTATATACGTAGGCGTCGATGTATTATATACATACATCTCATGCAAACACGTTCAGCCATTAATTAATTAACTCGAGGATCTGGATTAAACTGAATTTCACGCCGAAAATTCAAAAGAGGTGTGTTTATTTATCCTTAATTTTTGTTTATTTAGTTTTTTTTTCCTCTTCTTACAGTAGTGTGAACTCGAATTGCGGAATTTGATGATTCTGTATATGGTTAGATCTGTAATTTGGTGAGAAATTGGTTTTGGATTTGGGGGAATTGAATGCTGCGATGTGGGTAAATTGAGAGGTTTTTGGCATTTTAGATCTGATTGTGTTGGCCGGTGGGTTTAAAATTATACTGAATTTTTGAAAAATTTGGATGTAAAATATTGCCAGAGGTGTTCAAAAATCAGTAATTATTTCGATTTTTTATGGATAATTTGGTAAGCAAGTTATTATTTTTATATATATATATAATATATATATATATATATATATATATATATATATATATATATATATATATATATATATATATATATATAT